CATCATAGATCTGAGCCATCAGGGTTTTTGACCTCCTTTAGTTTCATAAGAAGTAGTCTGGCTACTCCAGAAAAATAGCACCAAAACTTTACCACAAATGGACTCTTGCCCAGTTTGGACAGATAATTACATCTACCATTACAGATACTGCTACAGTAATATTGAAGTCAATGGTTTTTATAGATCCCCTCAGCACAATTTATTGCAAACTGAACAAAACAGAAAACCAATTAAATACAATATGTGCCAGAAGAATACATTTAATGATCACCCGGCTCTACAACCATAGATCAGGAAACTGTATCACAAAGAGTAACATTTTTTAAATTAAACAAAGTATCTGTATATCAAATACAGGCAAGACTGGATCAGCTGAAGTTTTTGTGCGCAGCAATGTCTGTAGATGTGCAATAAAGCTTCCACTCTGATAAGGTACCGCTAAATATTAAGCCTGGGAAAAAACTGCATATTTATGCTCATTTTCCATAACAAAGAGACAGACATTTATGAGGGATCACAACATCAACTCACTGAACAAGTAACTGCCTGCATGGACTGAGGATTTTGACAATAAACAAAAAAAGGAAATGCTGGCACCATGAAACAGCAGACTTGGAACTAGTTGGCCAAAGTCCTGTTCACAACACTTTAGCAGTCTGCACACAGCATGAAGAGCAGCCCATGAATCAAAATCAATTGTGAATACGAGTCTCACCCTCCCCGTAGCTCTGCTTTGGCTTTGAGTTTTGTTTTTTAAATCAGCCAGTATTAATGCACAATGGGAATTCTCCAGGAGGATCAAAAAGAATATAGTTTTGCAAAGAAAGTTGTTTACCTAGCACAAAAAAAAAAAGCTCCTAGAATGACTGTAAATTCTCTTCTAAGGAAAAGTAGGGTTTTTAAAAGCTGTCATCAACTGACTGTTCTTCCCCAAATCAGAGAGGGTGGTGTATTTTTAGTAAATCTGGGAACATGCGTATTCAGCTTAACACAGTAAGAGGCTATTCTTTAAGCACGTTACCTGTATACATTCCGATGCACAACTCCATGTTATTTATCAGTTACACAAATGTCAATCACGAGCCCTTCCCAGAGTAAATGGTGTGCTGCACCACCCACCTGTCATGTCTGCAGTTTACATTTTAAGACTGGAAAGGAAATTAGTTCCACTTGCATGAGCCTTTGTTTGAAAGTAATAGTGCACAACAGATTTCTGTGGGCATAGGGGACAGAGAGCAGAAATACTAATTGTAGGAGTTCAGTAACCAGATACACTCCTGATGTTACATGGACCAGCTTTGCGAGACTTGCATTGCCAGTGATGGTTTTAACTATGCATCCCACTGTTAGGAAAGGTCAGGGACATGCTTATCATTTGTGGAATTTATAAATAGTTATTAGAGTACAGAATAAAAGTAATGAGGACACAAAACAGGAAGCAATTTGCATGCCTCCCTGTAGAGCTCCCTCTTGACAAAGGAAGTTTACTGTAATCTTTCCCAGTTATTCCAGCTCACTTTACAATCAGTGTGACCATATACTCTGATGAGCTATTAAATCCACTATTTCTCTAATTCACAAACATTATGAGAGGATAATAAAGCACATGTCAGTACAGAACAGAAAGGGGAGGAGAGAGGATCAATATAATTTAGTCTCCTTAATTTCTTTTAAGACATCTCATGCAACCAAAAAGTCACACGCTCCTATTACTGCGGCACAGGAGGATTTACAAGATGTAAATAATTTTTTTAAGCCCCATTCAGCCTAACCTCTGCCCCTTTCAAATTTATTTGCCCTTGATCCACACACATGACTACTCCATGATAGCACTTCCAATGAGCTATTCATGCAGGTGAGCATCCCTCACAGAAGCACATGCCCTCTCCATTTTTATGGTTATTTGTCTCTCCATCACAGAGCTCAAAGGAATAATCCTACTGCATATTTCTTCTTCATTTATTTTACTAGGCGAGGTGTTTAAGAGGATGTATGGTCATCTGGAGCTCATCACTGTCAAATTTTCAGCCACGCATCTGTAAAGGGTAAAGGAACTAGTTTAGCTCCTTGGTTTACAAAGTGCTGAGTACCTCCAACGAGGTGCCAAACGTGTGTGGTGACACTTTAAGATTGCTTAGTGCCTCCTGAGGTTTGTAGGGCCTGATCCAAAACCCCACTGTTATGAATGACAGTCCCCCCCTTGCCTGCAGCATGCATGGGACAGAATAGCACTTCACAGCTCAACCATGTCCTTCAACAGGAAGGCAAGAGTTACCAGAGATTTAAGAAGACAGCATAAGGTGGCAGGTTTGAGAAGCACTGCATCTTAGTGTTTCTACCTTCAAACAATTAACACTGAGTAAAATAAGTAAATAAACAAATACATACATATCTATATAAAGAAACACTCAAGACTACCTTAAATAAGTTTTGGATCAGGTACTTATTTTCAACTGTTTTAATCTCACATACATACAGGCAGCAAAACTCTCTCCAAACCCTTTAAGCCCATCCTGCTTCCATTGGGCTTAGTGTAGTTCTTCCACTCCTTCTAAAAAAAGAAAGATGCCACAGACTGTCTTTACAAATCAGTTTTCTCTGGAAGCCTTTGTTAAAATCAGCTCTTCTTCTGGAAGCATGCAATAGAGCAAGGCTAACAAGAAAAGAAAGTGCAGAAAAATGCTGACAGTCATACTGTAAAACATCCACCGCAAAAGACTGGCTGCTGTCATCTGGGGTAAGGCAGCAAAGAGTCTTTCATTACCAGGTCACTGGTTCAAATCCAGTCTTGCTTGACAGCAATCACCTGATGGCAGGCAGAGGAAGCAACGTAACTTTTAACGTAACTCTGCAAAAGTATCTTTCATTGAATGTGTAAATACTTCCAAGAAGGTCTGCAGGCATTCAGGATGAGAGTATTACCCTGCAAAACTGAAGTAGCAGATAGCAACTAAGCAAACAAAAAAGAACTAAGTTGCAGCAAAGACTGTAACCACTTCCATTCATTCTGACAGTCACTGTTTATCTTTGCTTTTGAAGAGACTGCTTGCTAGTATTCTCCTAAGTGAACTGTAGCACACTGTGAAAAAATAACAACATTTTAGCAATACAAGCCCTGACTGCAGCATCTGTTATTAAATCTTTGCAGAGAGGCGAGGAGAGACCACTAGTCATAAATGTGGATTAGCAAGGTTCTACTTATATTCCTTTTGGAGTGCTGAGTGCTTTGCATGAAAGCTGTTACTTGGCTTTTATGTTAAAAAATGAACTTATGCCAACTTTTTAGTACTGAAGTCTTCGAGGAAGTTGTCCTAACAGTCTGCAAGCACTGTCCACAAAACCCAGCAGCATTCTAACCGCAGAGAAATGGAGGAAGGACAAAATCAGAATAGCTGATGCTGCTGGTCTGCAACATTTTCTTTTCACAGAAAATGCCCATCATCTTACGCTTCCTCCCTGAGCAAATCAAGAACTGCCTTTGAAAGTGTCAAGCTTTATGATGCTGACTCCAACTCTGACACCTGATTACACAAGAGCACTAATGCAAGCACTCAGCATGATCAAGGGAATCCCTGCACCCTCACCACCAGAGCCTCAGAGGCTCCATGTCTGGGTCGACTCCGAAGCAAACAGGCAGAAGCCAGGCCGGGAGATCCTAGAGAAAGGGCAATCATTCACATACATATGAGAAGTGTAATGCAAGCTCCCTGAACTGAGCCAAGTTTAAGTAAACTTTATGCTAAATTCACGAAGTTCAAGCAGAGTCGGAGCTTAGCTGAACTGTAGTAAAAACACTCGGGAGTGTTCCAGAAACACTAAAATCCTCCTGGAGAAAGTTGATCTTGAGCCTTCATAACGATATTTTCTTGTCTGTGAAGTTACATAGCACGTGCAAGGGGCTATGTAAGATTTACCTATGACACCCACTGTTACGATATAATGTTTCAGTGAAGGCTAAATTAGAAGCAGCAAATCCCTGAAACTGCCTGTGTAAATACACAACCAGTAATGGCTCAATATATTAAGAAATGAAGACTAGCTGATATGGAAAGTGGGTTATACACAGATTATAGGTGCTCACCATGAACGCTGCTGTCTAAAATGGGTAATTGAGTAATAAAGGCACGCTGCTTCAACTGCGAGTTGCGACCACGGATGCTCTAACGCAGTAACACTGCTCGCAGGAGCGATTCCCATCCATCGAAGAGGCTGTAAAACGCCTCGCAGCGCTGCTGCTGCTCCGGACCCAGTGTCCGGACCCAGCCCCACCTCCGCGCACCGTCCGCGCCGTGCGGAAACTCCGCGGGCAGCGCTGCTCGCCCGCTCCTGCCGCTCACCTCCACCTCAAGTCTGGGGCTGCGCTTTATTTGATCCTGAGGTTGGTTTGGGGTTTTCTCCCCACCGGGCGCTTGCGGAGCGGAGCGCGGCGCGGAGGAGATGACACGGGGCTGAGCGGATCGAGGTGAATCGACTAAACCTCTACAGTTTAACCTGTGACTTCACGCGGGGCTGGAGGAGCTGATCCCCCGTCGCAGCTCGCCCCCCTCCTCCCTGCACAGCCCCGGGGGTACGCACGGACACCGCCTCGCCGCGCCGGAGCCAAGCCTTCCTCCTCGCCCCCCTCGTCCTCCTCCTCGCAGCGCGGCGCGCACCGCGCACCCGGCCCCTCCGCAAGATGCGCGCCCGCAAACTTTTCAAACTTTCCAAACGGAGGGTGAGCGACGCCGAACCGACCCCGGCGGCTCCTCGCCTCCCGCCGGCACCTCACCGGACGCTGCTCGCCCCGAGCGCGGCCCGCGGGGATCCCCTCGCCCCGGGTCGGGAGGCGGGAGCAGCGCGCTCCGGCCGCACCGAGCGTGGCGGTGCGCAGGCGGCAGAGGCAGGGTGCGCCCCGCGAGTTGGGGGTGCAAAGCAATAGTAAGGGCAGGGTAGGGGCAGGGGTACGGGCAGCGGTACAGTAGGGACCCCCCCAGCCCGCCCGCACCGCCCCTCGCACTCACGCTGCTGTTCTCTCCCGTCCAGTGCACCATCGCCTGGTTGTGAGACGCGTCCCCTTTCAGCACGAAGGAGGTGCTGATGAGGGAGACCTGCTCCCGGCCCGCCGCCGAGGATGCTCTCTTGGAGCGGCTGTCCCCTGCCGCCACCGCCCCACCACCCAGCCTTGGCTCTGGCAGGCTGCGCGCCCCGCGGGTCAGCACTCCGGCGGGGCGCGGGGGGCCGCAGGGATCCGCGGAGCGCGGCGCGGCAGCGGCGCCGAGCAGCAGCAGCAGCAGCATGAGGAGAGGCAGGCGCGCAGCCCCGGCAGCGCACACGCGTGTCCCGCCGCACGCCATGGTGGCTGTGCGGAGCGGCAGTGACAGCGGGGAGGTGGCGGAGGGACACCCCGCGCGGAGGGCGGGCGCGGGGGAGGGCTGTAACCGGAGCGCGGCAGCGGCGTGCGCGGGGCTGCGCCCAGCCGGGGCGGCGCCGCCATCTGCTGGCCCGCGCGGAAACACCGTGCGGCGGCGGGGCGCGGGATGCGGTGGGTCTGGTACTCACGGGCCGACACCGGGGGGCGGCGGCGGCGGCGGCGGTGGCGGAGCCGTCCCGGCGCGGCGGGAACGGGCGCCGGCAGAGCGGGGCGCTTGAGAAGTTTCTCGCTGCGCTGCGCGGAAAGGGTTCTCCTGAGCGCTCCGGGTAAAACCCACGGAGCCGCTCGGGGCGGCCGCGCTCCAGGCCGAGGGTCGCGGCCCCTGCGGGCACAGGAGATGGCCATGGCGTAGCCGGCAGTCCCAGGAGGCTGCAGTGGTAAAGTCAGAGCGGGTCTGTAAGGCGCAGTTAGAAGCCGAGGAACGAATGAAGCAGGTGCAGAAATATGGTTCGTGTGATTAACGGGGGAAGTGTTTCCGTGGAGCCTGGGAGCCCGGCCGGCCCCTCTGCCCCTCCGCTCCTGGGAGGAAGCAGGCTCCCCACTGCGTATTTCAGAGCCAACTGCTAACCCAGCGTCGACCGCTGCGGGTACCTGGGACTTGAAACTTGTGAGTGGTCCATGGAGGCATTGCTCAGAGCAGCGTCTGTGGTCACGGCCAGGAGGGGCAATGCAGGGTCAGTGCAGTGTGCAGGAACCCAGAGCAGCAGGTGAAGTGGTGGACAAAGCTTTAGGCATCATGGATGGGGTGCTCTTCCTGCTCCACCGCAGTGTGCTGTGTAACTGTGAAGCGACTGGGGCTTGTGAGGCGGTCTGGTGCTGTGAGAGGGAGCAAGTTAGAATCGCAGGGTAACTGAGGTTGGCAGGGATCTCCGGAGCATTCCTGCTCCAGCCTGCTGCACAGTCCAGGGCCAGCTCTGAAGCTGTATCTGACTTGACAGTAACATAAAGTTGCTCAGGCCTGAATGTCAGAAAATACATTTCAAAGACCACTGAGGGAAGTAATGACTCCAGCTGCTGGCAGACGAGTTTGGTGACACCTAACAGGAGAGATCTGTACTGTGTAAAACCAATGTGAGTGAAGTTAGTAAACCAGCTTTAGTTGTAATCTGCCTTTACCCTAATGGCCTAGAAAATTAGGATTACAAAGGCTTTTTCTAGGAAGATTAATAGAAAAAAATAGTATCCACAGGTTTAACTCTACCATTTACAGGCCTGTGATGACTGCCATAATGACCTCAAGTAACCTGGTCATCCCAAATTCAGGTAAAACCAACTTTGAACAAGCTATATGATTACATCTCAGCTGTACACCTTCAGTGCGAGGAGATCTATGGAAACCTGCCCTATTGTTACTGTCGTGGCTCAAGCTATAGGGCAGTTTCAAATTAAAGATGACTTGCTCATTTCAAAAGGAATAAAGATTAAACATAAAAATAATTAAGAAAAAAAAAATCCCACTTTTTTTCCCTCAGCTCCCAACAAAGTCCTCTTTCAGAGTTCCAAGTGCAGCCCCATAACTTCAGAACTGCCTCTGCACAGCCTTCCTCCTCATTCCTCCAGCACAGGTTCTGAATTAACAGATGAAATGATGCCTCCTCTGGGAATCTATAGCTGCCAGTTGTGGAGATTCGGCCCAAAACCCTGCCAGCCTGAGCCCAGCAGCCAGCAGGAACATGGGCAGGCAGCACCGCCTGGCCCAGGCCACCAGAAGCTGAAATGAAACATGAGCATGAGATGAGAATGATCTTTGCCTGCAGTTAGTTTCCTCACAGTGTCTTACCCTCTGAAACACTACCCTTTGTAAGGGGAAAACCACCTGGTTTTAAGTGGTCAAAAAGTTAGTTTTCCAGACAAAACCCTCTTGTCTCTCACAAACTGGTCTCAGTGACAGCTGGTGGTCAAACACTTGTTTGAATCATTGCTGTTTGGACATGTTCTTCAGGGGCACAGAAATTGGGCAGTGATTCAACTGCTCACAGAAGACACATGAGTGGGAAGTGATTCCTGCTGGGGTAACTCTTGCATGTTGAGTGAGTCATCTTCCATCTTTGGCATCTCTGCACAAAAAGGAACAAGGGAAAAAATGCTGAATTGTTAAGCAAACACTGACAGACCACAATAATATCAACCAGTGAGAAGGGGTGATTTATCCATTATTAGGAATTCAATAGTTTTTATTCCAACATCATGGCCTGTCCTGTGAAGATTACTCAACATATTCCATAAGAATAGATGGAATGGCCCAAGTCCCTACGTGTTAAAACTGGCATACAAATCTGCATGCTTCACTTGAATGAATACAGTTTGACTTTGTCATACTTACCCATTTTGCATTCACCACTGTCTTCAACAGGCAGGGCTCCCAGTGAGCAGCAGCTAAGAAAAGAGATGATAACATCCACATTCCTAACAATCTGACTCTTTATATCTGTCAGTAACTGATATTTCTTATGATGAGGCTTAAAAAGAGAAAGAAAGCAAGAAGTAACTCTAGAACTAATGAAGTCTAGTTTCCTCCAGCCTTGCATCTTATAGTCAACCACAAAGTCTGCTTCAGTCTTGTCCCACTTTCAGAATATCTTTTCCATGTATCTTCACAGGAACCTAAAAAATCCATTAACAAAGTCCTCCTTGTCTGCCCACTCACAAAACTTGCCATTTATTTTTGTGACCTCCCCATTTGCCAATTTAGTTGACATTGTCTTACAGGTTCAGAAGATGTTAACCAAGGTGGATGGACAAACACCCAGCCCAACTGATTGCTCACTGACAAAGAATAATTGCACAGGCCTTTTTATTCTTAGGCAAGTCAATTAAAAATCTCACCGGAAGGATGCTAAGGCAGAGAGAAATGGATGTAATTCTTATTTCTCTGTGTGAATTGCGAGACCTGAGTAGATGGGAATGAATCACTCAACCTACCACTGTGCTTGTCGCTAATTGAATCCCTTAGTATCAGGCTCTTAAGAGGTCAAGGATTAAATGGAACCAAAAGTAACTTCTCTATTTTCCCTCCTTTAGAGATAATCATAACCAAGACAGATGGATGGGCAATGCTACGAAAATATTGCCCCATCTCTTGGCTCTGCCACTAAGTGAAAGGCTTTTACCTGGCCACTTCTTCAGTGGTTGTTGAAGCCAGTTTTACATCAAACAGATGAATACACACTTACAGAATTGTGAATCAAATAAATAACAACGCATATTTATTATATCTAATACAATGTTGTAGCTCTAGAATAGGGAGATGGTAGAAATAATAGCTGTATTGCATTGTATCACTATCGTGTATGCTTAATGACAGTGTAGTTTCAAAATATGAGTGTTGAGCAGATCATCACAGGTCAAGGTCCAATTGTGTTAGGTAGGCTCTGTAGAAAAAGAGAGAACAAAGGTTGATCCAGCCTCATGGAAACATTTGGTTATGCAAAGGACAATCAAAATAACATACTTCTAGTCCAAAGCATGACCAGAATATTTAATTACTTCTAATTCTGTTGTGACTATTCCAGCTGAAATGCAAACAGAAAAGAACTGCTACTGATTTTTCTAGGCTTGTTAACATCAAGTGTGTTACTAAAGGAAGAAAGCTGATTTACAGACCATCTAGTGTAATTTGGTCTAGAAAACCCAAGCAAGCTGAGCAATGTAAGAGATGACTCTGAGAAGCAAAGGGCTTTCCCAGTTTCAAAGCTTGTTTGAATGAAACTTTTTAAGGCTTGCCAAAAACTTAGTTTAAGGATTGCTGAAACAGAGGCTTCCCTAAATTTCTGTCACCTTTTATGTTTCCTATAAACTCTGGCTCAGCAAGTACATATGAGCAGACAAAAAGCCAAATAACCTAGTATCAAATACCTCTGAGCTCCTCTAGTCCCAGAAGTAAACTTGAAAATGAATGCGTGTTGTAAATCCAAGGCAAGTTTCTGCCTGTTAATGGCAGAATTATTAGTGATATACTAATAACTTCTACCCCATTTTTATTGACTGTCAGATTAGATTGAGATTAAAAAGGCTTCAGTTAATGCACCTTAATTTTACCATGCTCATTTCTGATCAAACACTGAAAGTATTACAGAAAGCTGCAAGTTCTGCTTGAGCAGAAACCAAGAGGCAATGCTAATACTCCTTTTGCTACTGGCCCTAAGAGGTACTTGCAAATAAAGATATTGATACTAATTTGTTACATGTCTCACACAGCCGCCTTAGGTTGGTAATGCAAGATGACTGAAGATGTGCAATATGGTAGAAGATCACAGAACCCACTTAAGCATGCTCCTTATTGATTGTTTACCTCTTTTTAAGGTTGATTTAAATCAGTATATCAAAATGTATTTAGCATACCTTATTTTATTAATTAGATACAAACCAATTTCCATTTACATTATGCTTATGTTAACAACATCATGAAGAGCACAGTGACATGCAGTTTTCAGCAAAATGCTCACGCAAGAGAGCAACTTAGAATCAGAACAGAACAGACTCAACCAGACTGGAAAAGACCTTTAAGATCATCAAGTCCAACCATTACCCCAGGACTCCCAAGACCACCACTAAAGCTATCACTGAGGCCTTGTCTACACAGTTTTTGAGCTCTTCCAGGGATGGTGATGCCGCCACCACTGCCCTGGGCAGCCTGTTCCAATGCCTGACCACCCTCTCAGTGAAGACATTTTTCCTAATATCCAGTCTAAACCTCCCCTGGCACATTTTGAGGCCATTTCCTCTTGTCTTATCACTTGCTTCTTGGAAGAAGAGACTGACCCCCACCTCACTACCTCCTTTCAGGCAGTTGTAGAGAGCGATCAGGTCCCCCACTGAGCCTTCTCTTCTCCAGACTAAACAACCCCAGGTCCCTCAGCTGCTCCTCATAAGATGTATTCTTCAGACCCTCCACCAGCTCCGTTGCACTTCTCTGGACCCACTCCAGCACCTCAGTGTTTTTCTTGTAATGAGGGACCCAGAACTGAACAGAGGATTCAAGGTGTGGCCTCACCAGTGCCCAGTACAGGGGGATGATCACAGCCCTGCCCCTGCTGGCTACACTATAGCTGAACAGCATATTAGTTGTTATTATTAGTTATTTCTGAATAATTTAATCTGATATGTCTTATCAAAATGCCTGACTCCAAACCAGCCTTTTTAGTCCCTCTGACCATAGCCTAAGCTAACAATTAATAAATGGCAACACAATTAACAAAAAAAAAGCTTTCTTCTGTGTTACATGTAAATTATTGTACATGCGAAATACCCTGATGTCTCTCATGCCAATCAGCAGAGGTTTTATTTAACAAGGCCTCTCAGGGTCCAAACTAATTTCTATTTGTATTACTACAACTACAAAAAAAAAAAAGATATATCTTTCCATAGCCAACAAATGTAGATGTATTAAAACTCTTCGCAATCGCTGTTCCATTTGAGAGAATAAAAAAATCAAGCAGATGTCAGATTGTTTTGTTCGCATTAATTCACTGATACATTGCTGTCAGCAGCTAGCCCAGATGCTCACAGAAGAAAGCAGCAATAAATAGGAAGCAGTACTTGTCACTAGAAAAAACAGCCTCTACTTCTGTGGGCAGTTCTGAAGAAAAGTGAGTAGCTGCTTTTGTTCTAGGAAGGACTGACTAAGAGACAAAGTACATGTTCGATTATCCTGTTCAAATGTGAACAATAGAAAAGACAGTGGATTTGAATATAGTGTATTATCTCTGATTATTAGGGAGAGCTGTGTTCAGGTATGAGTACACTAACTGACATACACCTATGAGAAAAACATTGGAAGAGCTGTAAATTTGAGGGAATAAATAACTTCTAGTTTTATCAGTATAAGTTACCAGAAAGCATGTATGCAGGAAAAAAAATGGCACAACCACCCATTATAGGTGCTTATATAGGTTATATAGTTTATAGGTTATATAGGCAAATAGCCCATAAACAACAGGTTACTAAGGTTGTCTAGAAACCTCATCCTTTGAGCACCATTGGCTTTCATCTCATTCAGTGAAAGCAACTGGACAACTCAGCACCATGCAGGACTTTTCCTAGTAAGTAGGTAAATACTTACTGTAACTTTCTCTAGTTCTAGCTCACAAAATGCAACAGAAACAAACTTGTAAAATTACTTTCACTTACAAAAGAGGCTGACAATGAATACAGGCTGCCTTGAGCCCCTCAAGTTTGATCTTCCATCAACCAGGAAAAAAAGCCCCACAACTAACCTGTATAGATTTGTTATGCCACAGAGCCTGAAAGAGTGGCTTAGTCTGAATGGAAGACATATGGTGAGGCATAACGTTGTGTCTTTAGGCTATTGTAAGATTATCTGTCTTCAGCCTTCATAATTTCTCACCAACAATTAATAAGGAGAGTTCTGAAAACCTGAGAGAGTTGGATTAATTGTCTACACCTTAAGAGCTCACAACAGAACAAGAGCTTTTTCTTTCATGTGGCTAAGGCAGACTGGGAATTTGTTTTTCACAGAACAGCTTTGCACTCCTGCTTTTGCTGTCCTAAGATTTCAAGAAGTTTATTTGAGAAAATCTGGAAGGCTGGGTAAAAAAAATGGGTATTTAAGTAAGTGAAATGTGGCGTGAGGGATGTAATTCTCAAGTTTACAGTCAGCTTCATGTAGGTACAGGAATACAGTTCCTTTTATTTCGAACACTGTTTATGTCTTGCCAACATTGCCAACAACTCACATTCTGATCTAACCTTACCAGGATTTTTACCAGTGTCATTTTATTCATCACTTTGCTAATATGGATGCATTTCTGAGAAAATGGTAGCAGAAAAATAAATCAATGTTAAGTTCAACTAAAACCAAACCATTCTAAATCAGTCTTCTAGTCTTTTGCAAGGGGTCCCGGAAGGCACCATTTCTCTAAGAGGAGACATTCCCATCTGGTAAACGTTTAGTGGGAAGTCAGAGTGACATGTTTACAGCTACGTCAACCCTCTCAGATTCTTCATGGAAAGAGCTTAGCAGGGAATGCAGATGTGAGTAGTCTCCAATTCATAGGTTTTGACCAGGAGAGCAAATCCTTTCTATTGCAAGCATGTCAGCTTACGTTTGTGTGGGACTGGGTATTAACTTTATGGTCTTGTGTGCCTATGGCAAAGGATGGGGTAGGGTGTTGCTGTAAGTTTTATAGGGAGTTTGCTGAATTTTGTCTCATGGCTGAGGTTTGCAGATACTGCAATGGCTGGTGCAAAGCCAAACCAGCAAAAATGAGAGGGTTTTGTGTAGAAGACATACTCAACTAAAACATCATAGAAGGTCATGCTATTTCAATCTGTGAAATAGATTTACTTAAATGAAAAACCTTCAGGAGAAGCCACTTTAAATAATTAGTAGAACAGCGCCTGAATTTTGTTTAGGTAGTACTTTTTTCTGAGCTGGCTTATTCCTTTTCATGTCATTTTTCCCCCTTGTTTCTTTCCAATATAGATTTACATGGTCTAGA